CTCCTCCTGTCCCTGGCACGCACCGGATGTCTCTGCGTCCGTCCACTGCTCCTCTGCGTGCCCCTTTGCCTTCTCCTCCTGAGTCCTCACTTCCTGCGCTTGCCGACCCTGAGTCGGACTCTCTTCGCGCTGCGAGTCCTACTGTCACGCGTCTACTTGCTACTGTCGTCACTGACCCCTCTTTTGAGTCCACTGCTGCGTCTGCTCTAGTCGCTGAGCTCGTTGACTTTGCTGCTCGCTGTCGTCTCGACTACGCTGCTAGTCTTGTTGCTGAGTCTGCGTCTGTCTGTCCTCCGTCCGTCGGGGGTGAGTGTGCTCTTGGCACGGACGTCCTAGAGGACAGACAGGAGGAGTTACAGTGTCTAGCGGCTGCTTCACCTCATCTCGCGTCTGTACTGCTTGCCCCTGAGGGAGACCCGGATGCACTAGACATCCCGACTCCGCGTTCTTACGCGGAGGCCGTAGAGGGTCCCTACTCCTCTCAGTGGCAGGCAGCTATGGATGCAGAGATGGCTTCCTGGAAGTCCACAGGCACCTACGTTGACGCGGTTCCCCCTCCTGGGGCGAACATCGTCAGTGGCATGTGGATCTTCAGGGTGAAGCGGCCGCCGGGCTCTCCACCTGTCTTCAAGGCACGGTACGTTGCTCGTGGCTTCAGTCAGCGGCAGGGAGTTGACTACTTTCAGACCTTCTCTCCCACCCCGAAGATGACTACTCTTCGGGTGCTGCTGCACATAGCCGCTCAGCGCGACTACGAGCTTCACTCTCTCGACTTCAGCACTGCGTTCTTACAGGGTAGCCTGCACGAGGAGATCTGGCTTCGCCGTCCACCTGGCTTCACTGGGACTTTCCCTCCTGGCACCCAGTGGAGCCTCCGACGGCCAGTCTACGGTCTCCGCCAGGCACCGCGTGAGTGGCACGACACACTGAGGACTACGCTTGCGGCTCTTGGGTTTGCTCCTTCTACTGCTGACCCGTCGCTGTTTCTTCGCACCGACACTTCCCTGCCGCCGTTCTACATCCTCGTGTACGTCGACGACTTGGTCTTTGCCACAGCGGACACTGCTGGACTCGCCTACGTGAAGTCCGAGCTGCTGAAGAGACACACGTGCACAGACCTGGGTGAACTGCGCAGCTACCTTGGCTTGCAGATCACTCGGGACAGAGCACGCCGCACCATTACCTTGACTCAGTCACACATGGTGCAGCAGGTCCTTCAGCGCTTCGGCTTCACGTACTCCTCGCCTCAGGCCACTCCTCTGCCTACTCGCCACTCACTCTCAGCTCTGCCTTCGGATGAGTCCGTAGAGTCGAGTGGTCCGTATGCAGAGCTTGTTGGCTGCCTCATGTACCTGATGACCTGCACAAGACCTGACCTTGCATACCCTCTGAGCATTCTTGCACGCTATGTTGCTCCTGGGAGACACCGACCGGAGCACATGGCTGCAGCGAAGAGGGTATTGCGCTACCTGTGCAGTACGTCGGGCATGTGGCTAGTGCTTGGAGGGCGGAGTCCAGTGGTCCTTACCGGCCACGCGGACGCTTCTTGGGCTGACGACCAGGCTACGCAGCGGTCGTCACAGGGTTACACCTTCAGCCTTGGTTCCGGCTCTGTCTCGTGGCGGTCTACTCGCTCGTCTTCGGTTCTCGGCTCCAGTTGTGAGGCTGAGATCTACGCCGGGGCCATGGCTGCACAGGAGCTTCGCTGGCTCACCTACCTGCTGACTGACCTTGGAGAGCCGCCTCGTTCTCCTCCAGTGCTGTACGTAGACAACAAGGCTATGCTGGCCTTGTGTCGAGAGCAGCGCTTGGAGCACAGAACGAAGCACATTGCTCTCCGCTACTTCCTTGCTCGTGAGCTGCAGCAGCGTGGTCAGTTGCGACTTGCGTACGTGGCCTCTGAGGCCAACACTGCTGATGTGTTCACCAAGGCACTTGCGCCTTGTGACCATCAGCGCTTTTGCACCCAGCTGGGTCTTGTGCCTGTCTTGCCTCACTTGCTCTCCTCTTGACTTCACTTGTACTGTGACATATATATATGCCTGCTCTGGTGTGTGAAAGTGAGGGAGGACGAGGACGACGCAGTACCTGAGAGCGCAGTCTCACCAGTACCTGAGAGCGCAGTCGCACTGGCACCTAGAGCAGCAGCCTCACAAGCACCTAGCGCAGCAGTACCAATGCCCGGGTCGGGCTAGAAACACCGGTAACCCTCATTCTCCACACTATAATCCACAGCATACATAGCAGCAAGGATAGCATCAAAATCAAGATCAAAGATCGCTACACCAGCCCTTAGAAGCTCATCCCAGCGAGGGATCTCACTAGCCCCAGGGAACTGCCGACGCCAAGCGTCCGTCAGGCGGCCAAAGCAGCGCTGGGTGGCGTGGGCACCCCCACACTGCTCACCCGCGCGGTCGCCGGAACGAAGAACGTAGGTGCAGGGACCAGTACCCCCACCCCTCTGACGCCCAGCGTACCACTCACGAAGCTGCTGAGGCGGAGGGATGTCCCGCGAGCGCTGCTGCTGCTGCCGCTGCGAGCGCTGGCCACCACCACCGCCGCTACGCTGCTGGGTACCACCCCGACCAGCTCCACCTCCTCCACCACCACCGCCTCCTCCGCTGCCGCCTCCACCCCCTCCACCTCCGCCGCCTCCACCCCCGCCGCTGCCTCCACCACCACCGCTGGTACCACCACCACTGTCTCCGCTGCTGCTGCCACCACCACCACCACCCCCGCCACTAGTCCCGCCGCCACCCCCACTCCCTCCGCCGCCACCGCCACCGCTTCCTCCAGCTCCACCCGCGCCCTTGCCCCCCTTGCCCTTGCTGGAGCGACGTCTCCCACTAGGGGTAGACGCCGCGCCGACCGACTCAAGACCAAGCAGGCCGGCAGCAGCAGCAGAGGCAACAGAAGGCAGCAAGGGGGAAGGAGAGCACCCCTCAAAGATGGGGGTGCGAGGGTCACCACGAGAAGCACCTACAGCGACTATGCTCTTCTCCGCTGCGAGGAGGGCCTTCTCGAGGAGGTCGACGGTGAGGGTGGTGGGACAGACTGCGAGAAAGTGGTCCCTGACGACGCGAAGGGAGTCAAGGAGGCGCGCAACTACGTAGTAGAGAGCGATGTACATGGGGGGTGGGTTCTTAGCGCAAAACTCAGCAGGAAGGGCGGCGCGGTAGCGAGTGTCGCTAGTGCGGAGGTGCGTAATGAGGTCAGCGACAGTGGGAAAGGCAGAGAGGTCAGGAAAGAGGTAGGGAAGCATGAGACGGCTCAGTGCAGAAGTGGCAGGGGAGGAGTAGCGTGCAACTACAGCGTCGTACAAGGTCTGAGCACTCTTGTACTGACTAAAGTGCGCACGCTCAGAGGTAGGGAGGTGGCGACGCACAGCAAGACGTGCAGCAGCATCGCGGGTGGCCCACTGAGAGCGGACAGTGGGATCAGCATCAGCAGCAGGAGCAGGAGAGGCGCCAGAGGTGAGGTCAAAGAGAGAAAGGCTGTCAGCCCTGTCGCACTGTAAGAACAGCTGCAGGTCATCTAACCAGACCTCAAAATCAATGGCGCGACCCTCAGCGTGAAAAGCTAGGACACTAGGGGTAGCCATGACGACGACAGCGAAGCAGTGCAAGCAGTAGGGGAAGAGCACGCAGTGACAGTGCGACTGTGCTCACCAGGCAGGGCAGGCCGGGAAACTCTGCAGAAGGGCGGCTCGGCGACTCAGCGACTCGGCTGCTGGGCGGCTCGGCTCCCGGGCGGCTCGGCGGCAGGGCGGCTCGGGTGCAGGGCGGCTCGGCGCCCGGGCGGCTCGGCGGCAGGGCGGCTCGGGTGCAGGGCGGCTCGGCTCCCGGGCTGCTCGGCGGCAGGGCGGCTCGGGTGCAGGGCGGCTCGGCTCCCGGGCGGCTCGGCGGCAGGGCGGCTCGGGTGCAGAACGGGGCCGGGACAGGGGACGGCGGGGCCGTCAGGGTGCAGCGGCGGGGCCGGCAAGGTGCAGCTGCGGGGCCGTGACAGGGGACGGCGGGGCCGTCAGGGTGCAGCGGCGGGGCCGGCAGGGTGCAGCGGCGGGGCCGGGACAGGGGACGGGGGAGCCGTCAGGGTGCAGCGGCGGGGCCGGCAGGGTGCAGCGGCGGGGCCGACTGGTGCAGTGGCGGGGCCGTCAGGGTGCAGCGGCGGGGCCGTGACAGAGGACGGCAGGGCCGTGACAGGGGACGGCGGGGCCTTTAGGGTGCAGCGGCGGGGCCGACAGAGGTGCAGCGGCGGGGCCGACAGGGTGCAGCGGCGGGGCCGGGAGTAGGACGGCGGGGCCGTCATGTGACGGGGCCCGCTGCAGCGACGAAGAGGCCGCGCGGCCGGCGTGAGGGCGGCGCGGCGCGGCAGAGCCGAGAGGGCGGCGCGGCGCGGCCGTAAGGCCAGCGCTACGTGGGGCCCGGGCCGCGCGCGCGAAAAAAAAAAAAAAGGGAGTCGCGCGCGCGACTCTCGGGGCGCCACAAGGGCAGCGCGACAAGCACTAGGGGGAGCGCGCCTCGGGGAGAATAGGGCGCGCTCCGGGCAGAAAAAAATCGTGGGTGGGCCCTTAAAAAAACGGTCCTTAGGAGGGACCCGCTCTATACCATGTGAAAAGAATGAACAGGAATGAGAATGACTAAGGAAAGATTGGGTACAAATACAACCCTAGAAACCCTGTACCCCATATGTGCTACCCCACTATAGCCTACAAACATGCATCAGCTATAATACTCTGACACTGAGCAGCCCAACAGAGCCGAGCCGCCCAGCGGCCGAGCCGCCGAGCCGCCCAGCAACCGAGCCGCCGAGCCGCCCGACAGCCGAGCCACCCAACAGCCGAGCCGCCGAGCCGCCCAGCAGCCAAGCCGCTGAGCCGCCGACCCGCCCAGCAGCCGAGCCGCCAAGCCGCCCTGCCGTCGAGCCGCTACTGTTCCTATCAGCGCGCCCCGGCCCTACTTACTCGGACTGGTAAGATCACTCCCTGCTAGGCTACTGCAGTCATGGCTACCCCCAGTGTCCTTACCTTTGATGCTGAGGGTCGTGCTGTTGACTTTGAGGTCTGGGTTGATGACCTCTGGCTGTTCCTACAGTGCGATAGAGCAGACCGACTCTCCCTGTTCGATTTCACCTCTGGTGCCTCTCCTGTCCCGCCTGCTACTGCTGACAGCACTGTTCGCTCACAGTGGGCCACACGCGATGCTGCAGCCCGTCTTGCTGTGCGTCGCCACTTACCGACCACTGAGCGTGTACACTTTAGCCAGTACAAGAGTGCTCAGACCTTGTACGACGCTGTAGTTGCACGCTACTCTTCCCCTGCCACTGCTGCGCTTAGCCGCCTCATGCTACCGTACCTGTTCCCTAACCTTGCTGCCTTTCCCACAGTCGCTGACCTCATTACGCAACTTCGCACTAGCGACACTCGCTACCGCGCTGCGCTTCCTGCTAACTTCTTTGCCAAGAACCCCCCCCCCCCCCCATGTACATCACCCTCTACTACATAGTCACACGGCTCCATGACTCCCTTCGCTTAGTCAGGGACCACTTCCTCTCAGTTTGCCCCACCACACTCACCGTTGACCTTCTCGAGGAGCGCCTCCTAGCAGCAGAGAAGAGCATAGTCGCTGTAGGAGCCTCTCGTGGTGACCCTCGCACCCCCGTCTTTGAGGGGTGTTCCCCTTCCCCCCTCTTGCCCTCTGTTGCTTCTGCTGCTGCGGCCGACCTCGTTGGTTTCGAGTCGGTCGGCGCTGCGTCTGCCCCTAGCGGGAGACGCCGCACCGGCAAGGGCAAGGGGGGCAAGGGCGCTGGAGGGGCTGGCGGAAGCGGTGGAGGTGGCGGTGGAGGCAGTGGAGGGGGTGGGGGTGGTGGTGGGAGTGGTGGCGGGGGTGGAGGTGTTGGTGGCAGCAGTGGAGGCGGAGGAGGCGGCGGCGGTGGGGGAGGGAGCGCAGGCGGCGGAGGTGGCGGAGGCGGCGGCGACAGCGGTGGAGCTGGTCTCGGCTCTGCGCAGGGGAGTGGGTCCAGTAGTGGTCCGCGCCAGCAGCAGCAGCGCAGTCGTGAGACCCTTTCCCCTCAGCAGCTTCGTCAGTGGTACGCTGGGCGTCAGCGCGGTGGGGGTACTTGTCCCTGCACCTACGTCCTCCGTACCGGCGACCACGCTGGTGAGCAGTGCGGGGGCCCGCACTCCACCCAGCGCTGCTTTGGCCGCTTGACGAACGCGTGGCGTCACCAGTTCCCTGACGCCACTGAGATCCCTGGCTGGGGAGAGCTGTCAAGGGCGGGGTTTGCTATCTTTGATCTTGATTATGATGCTATTCATGCTGCCATGTATGCTGCGTCTGATAGTGTTGAGGGTGACTGCTACCTGTGTGTTCCGCCTGACTCGGGCATTGAGGCTGCTGCTCTAGGTGCTGGTGAGGCTGCTGCTCTAGGTGCTAGTGCGTCTGCTGCCCCAGGTGCTGGTGAGTCTGCTCTCTCAGGTACCACGTCGGCTCAGGCCTTACACACCTTCACCCTTGACTCGGGTGCTTCCTCCTCATTCTTTCGAGACCGCACCACGCTTACGCCGCTTAGTCGGCCGGTTGCGGTCTCCCTGGCGCACCCCACTGGGGGTCCTGTCCTAGCTAGCTTCTCCACTGTCTTACCATGCGCGGCAGCCCCATGTGGCACCCTGTCAGGTCTCTACCCCCTCGTTCTCTACGAACTTGGTGAGTGGAGCTGATCTACAGGATAAGGGGGTTGACCAGTTCACTCCTGCGAGTCAGCGGGTGACCCATTGCACGTGTGCTCGGACAGGCCAACGTTGGCCGGGATCGAGCCTGTACACACCGACTACTGAGTCTACTCCGGTTGCTGAGTCTGGTCAGGTAGCTGCGACAAGTCAGGTGTTTGCTGCAGCGTCTAGGTCTGGTCCTGAATCTGTGCCCTGCTCGTGTCGTCTCCTGTCCCACCAGACTCTCCTTTGGCACCACCGCCTTGGTCACCCCTCCCTGCCTCGTCTCCGAGGCATGGCCTCACGTGTCCTTGTCTCTGGTCTTCCCCGGTCCCTATCTCCCCTACCTCCTGGGCCTGTCCCTACCTGCGTCCCCTGCGTCGAGGGGCGACAGCGCGCCACCCCTCACTCCTCCGAATTTCCTCCGATAGAGGCTCCGCTGCACTCGGACAGCAAAATGGGATTGCTGAGCGCCGCATTGGCATGGTCATGGACGTTGCTCGTACGTCCATGATCTATGCGGCTGCTCCCCATTTTCTGTGGCCGTTTGCGGTTCAGTACGCAGCGCATCAGCTCAACCTTCAGCCCCGGGTCTCCTTGCCACAGACCTCCCCCACCTTGCGGTGGACGGGGAAGGTTGGCGATGTGTCTGCGTTCCGTGTCTGGGGATCTCGGGCGTTTGTCCGCGACTTGTCTGCGGACAAGCTGTCCCCCCGTGCTGTTCCCTGCGTCTTCCTTGGCTTCCCCCCTGATGCACCTTGTTGGCAGTTTTACCACTCCACCTCGCGCCGTGTTCTCTCCTCCCAGGACGTCACCTTTGACGAGTCGGTGCCTTACTACCGTCTCTTCCCCTACCGCACTGCGCCCCTCCCCACGCCGCCGCTCTTCCTTGTGCCAGGTCCTCCCGCGGTAGACCCTATCCCCCCTCAGGGTCCTGCCCTGTCACGTGTGTTCCAGGTAGACGCAGTCGTGCCTGTCGAGGTAGCTGTTGACTCTGGTGCTGCTAGGGGCGCTAAGCCTGCGGGTGCCGGGTCTGGGGGTGCTGAGCCTGGGGGTGCGGAGCCTGGGGGTGCTGAGTCTAGGGGTGCTGAGCTTGGGGGTGCTGAGTCTGGGGGTGCTAAGCCTGGGGGTGCGGAGCCTGGGGGTGCTGAGCCTGGGGTTTCGGAGCCTGGGGGTGCGGAGCCTGGGGGTGCTGGGTCTGCTCATGTGGCATCTGGCAGTGCTTCGTCGAGGCGGGAGATACTCTCTCCGCAGGAGCTGCGCGAGTGGTTTGCCTGGCGCAAGAGCCGTGCTGCTGGAGCTGGAGGTACTACTGTTGCTGCTGGTCCTGGAGGTGCTCGTACTAGCGGTACTGGAGGTGCTGGGACTGGGGGTGCTGCTGGGGCTGCTGCTGGAGTTAGTCCTGCTGGAGGTACTGCTGGAGCTGCTGGCGGTACTGGAGCTGACGGTCCTGCTGGAGTTGGTTCTGCTGGAGCTGGAGCTCTTGGGGGTGTTGGCGCTGGTGGTTCTGCTGGTGGTGGTGCTTCTGAGGGTGCTGGAGTTGGCGCTGTTGGAGCTGGAGGTGCTGCTGGCGCTGGTGCTGCTGCTGGGGGTACTACTATCCCTGCTGGTTCTGGAGGCGCTGTGCGGCCGAGGCCGTACTTCGTTCCGTTCCTTGAGCAGGTTCTTGGTCTCCCGCCCTCTATTGGTCCTGCTCCTCCCTTAGAGTGTCCATAGTCTGTCCAGTTGCGGTCACAGTTACAGCCCGCCTCCCCCCTACCTGCTCCTTCTCCCTACACTGGTCCTACTGGAAGTCTTGCTGAGCGTCGTGAGCCTGCGTCTCATCCTGCGTCGCCTGTTCGTGCTCCTCGCACTAGTGGTCGTGCTCCGCGTCCGCGTCCTCCTACGGTCTCAGGCACACACCAGATGGCACTGCGTCCTTCCACTGCTCCTTTGCGTGTCCCGTTGCCGTCTCCTCCACAGTCCTCTCTTCCTGTTCTTGCTGACCCGGAGTCTGACTCTCTTCGTGCTGCCAGTCCTACTGTCACGCGTCTTTTGGCCACTGTTGTCACTGACCCTTCCTTTGAGTCCACTGCTGCGTCTGCCTTAGTTGCTTAGCTTGTTGACTTTGCTGCTCGCTGTCGTCTAGACTACGCCGCTAGTCTCGTTGCAGAGTCTGAGTTTGTGTGTCCTCCGTCCGTCGGGGGTGAGTGTGCTCTTAGCACGGACGTCCTTGAGGACAGGCAGGAGGAGTTCCAGTGTTTTGCTGCTGCTTTGCCTCATCTCGTGTCCACGCTGATTGGCCCTGAGGGAGACCCGGATGCACCAGACATCCCGACTCCTCAATCGTACGCTGAGGCGATCGAGGGTCCCTACTCCTCTCAGTGGCAGTCAGCCATGGACGCAGAGATGGCTTCCTGGAAGTCCACAGGCACCTATGTGGACGAGGTTCCCCCACCTGGGGCGAACATCGTCAGTGGCATGTGGATTTTCAGGGTGAAGCGCCCGCCGGGTTCTCCGCGTGTCTTCAAGGCGCGTTACGTGGCTCGAGGCTTCAGTCAGCGGCAGGGAGTTGACTACTTTCAGACCTTCTCTCCCACCCCGAAGATGACCACTCTTCGGGTGCTGCTGCACATAGCCGCTCAGCGCGACTACGAGCTTCACTCTCTTGACTTCAGCACAGCTTTCCTGCATGGCAGCCTGCACGAGGAGATCTGGCTGCGCCGCCCACCTGGCTTCACTGGGTCGTTTCCTTCTGGTACCCAGTGGAGCCTCCGGCGGCCAGTCTACGGTCTCTGTCAGGCGCCCCGTGAGTGGCACGACACACTGAGGACTACACTTGCGGCTCTTGGATTTGCTCCGTCTACTACCGACTCGTCGCTGTTCGCACCAACACCTCTTTGCCGCCGTTCTACATCCTCGTGTACGTTGACGACTTGGTCTTTGACACCGCTGGACTCACCCACGTGAAGTCCGAGCTGCAGAAGAGACACACGTGCACAGACCTGGATGAACTGCGCAGCTACCTTGGCTTGCAGATCACCCGGGATAGAGCACAGCGCACCATTACCCTGACTCAGTCACACATGGTGCAGCAGGTCCTTCAGCGCTTCGACTTCACGTACTCCTCGCCTCAGGCCACTCCTCTGTCTACTCGCCACTCGTTCTCAGCTCTGCCTTCGGATGAGTCCGTAGAGCCGAGTGGCTCGTACCCAGAGCTTGTTGGCTGCCTCATGTACCTGATGACCTGCACACGACCTGACCTTGCATACCCTCTTAGCATCTTGGCACGCTATGTTGCTCCTGGGAGACACCGACCAGAGCACATGGCTGCAGCGAAGAGGGTGTTGCGCTACTTGTGCAGTACGTCGAGCATGGGGCTAGTGCTTAGAGGGCGACGTCGAGTGGTCCTCACATGTCACGCAGACGCTTCTTGGGCTGACGACCAGGCTACGCAGCGGTCGTCACAGGGTTACACCTTCACCCTTTGCTGCAGCTCTGTTTCGTGGTGGTCTACCCGCTCGTCTTCTGTTCTCGGCTCTAGCTGTGAGGCTGAGATCTACGCGGGGGCCATTGCTGCACAGGAGCTACGCTGGCTCACCTACCTGCTGACTGAACAAGGAGAGTTGCCTCGTTCTCCTCCAGTTCTGTACGTAGACAACAAGGCCATGCTGGCCTTGTGTCGGGAGCACAAACTGGAGCACAGAACGAAGCACATTGCTCTTCGCTACTTCCTTGCTCGTGAGCTGCAGCAGCGTGGTCAGCTGCGCCTTGCTTACGTGGCCTCTGAGGCCAACACTGCTGATATCTTTACCAAGGCACTTCCGCCTTGTGATCATTAGCGCTTCTGTACAATGCTAGGTCTTGTGCCTACTTGGCCTCACTTGCTCACTTCTTGACCTTGCTTGTACTGTGATCTTTTTATACCTGCACTTGCTTGTTTACCTTTATATATGATCTTGCATGTGAACTGGCCTTGTGGCCTTGCTCTTGTGCTCGGACTGTGTGGTGACGTTGTGATCCACCCTGAGCTTGCTTTGCTTTTCTTGACTGGTCTTGTGACCTCTTATTCTCCCCCACTTTGCCTATGGGGGTGAGTCAAACTCATATGCTATAGTCCTTGTAGGCTGTAGTGGGGTAGACAATATGGGGTACAACACTTTTAGGTTTTCCTACTTGTACCCACCTGCTTGCTAGTTCATTCATTCCTCAGTTCTTCAGAGCTGTGGGGTTTTAAGTGAGAGAGAGACGGTGGGCAGCAAGCGGTCGGTTGAGCGTTTGATATAATAAACTCGCTCCAATTACGATAGCGACGTGCCTTCACCGAACATCATAAATATTGCAGGCGACACGAAGTTATACCTCATCCGACAAAAGCGAGCGCTGGGTGAACGGCGACAAGCGAAATTGTCGGGGGTTGAAGGCGAGAAAATACGATGGGAGGGAAAGTTGCATATGCTTTTTCCAAGTTGTTTGGAGTGCGATTGAGCCCGTGCGCGAATTCTCCGCGTTTTCAGGGTCTACTTGGGGACGCCTGATGGTTCAAGTCTTACGTAAAAGAGGCGCGGTGGAAACGTGCACCTTGGAAAATCCAACGGCGAGATCTACGGCGTTGATGCTGGCTAGGTTCCGTGAGATTCGGTCTCGGTAGACCCAGAGTTCTAGGTTACACACAAGAAAGCACCTCCTCTTGGTGGGTTGCGAGTATGGTGAACCACAGGCGATAAAAATGGCGACGGATGGGCACGCTAAACACACAAGTTCTTTTTGGGGGATAAGGTGTCAGATTTATATGACATAGCTGTTGTAGGTTATAGTGGGGTAGCACATATGGGGTACGACTTTCTAGGGTTTGTACTTGTACCCAACTTTCCCTTAGTCAATCCATTCTCGTTCATTTTCTCATGGTATCGAGCAGGTTCCCCTGTGGGAACTAATCCTAGGGCCCACCACCTTTTTTTTTCCTGCCCGGAGTGCGCTCTACTCTGCCCGAGTCGCGCTCCCCTCTTTCGACCCTGTCGCGTCGCCCT